CTCTGAGTTCCCTCCTCTCTCAACTCTCTCTCAACTCACCTCAAAACCCTAGCCGTCGCCTCTCACTGAAACCCTAATCTATGGCTTCTCAGCCTCATCGGAAGCCTATACTGGCCTCTCATGGCTTCTGCGTGCTCATTTTCTAAAGGTCCTATGACCAGATCTTGAAGGGTTCCGACCAAGCCTTTTGCTCGACGACTGTTCTCCGGTCGTCTTCAACCTTTGTCCGGCCAGTCATGGCTATTCGAGTTTGACTTTCCTGCTCAGATCGATGGTTTCCAAAGCCTTCTCATCACCTGGGTTTCTTACAAAACCCTAATCTCTAAGGTTCCTTCGATTTATTTCTAGATCTGCTCCGGATCTATGTGTGTGTGAACCTTCTATGCATTTTTCTCGAGTCTCTTTAATTTTTTGCTTCAACTAGGGTTTCATGTTAAGTTATTTCGAATCTCTTCTCTGATTCTCGACATGTTTTACTGTGTTTTGTTTTTGTTGTTTTCTATCTGAGTTAGCATGTTGAAACCCCTAATTTTTTGGGATTTTGTTCGAGTTTCTTAGTCTGTTTGTTAATATTCGTTGATTTACTTTCTTCTATATCTGAGGTAGCATAGTGAAAGCCCTAATTTTTGGGGTTTATCCGAGACTCTGAATCTATTTATTTGTTTATCTGCTTATCTCCTCTAAACTTGATTGATTTTAGAAAACCCTAGTTCTTTGGGGACTATTCGATTTCTTTGAAATTGTTTGTGCAACTCGTCTGTTGAAAATGCAATGTGCTTCAATTCTCTTTTCTTCATGTGACTCTTTTGGTTCTGAGTTCTTACTACCTGTCAAACTCAACTATGGTTTCACTCAACTCTTTGCATGCTTCTGATCTTCTTCTCTATTGTTAAACACTGAAACTTGACTATCATGCTTCGAATGTCTTCTTTTTAGTTACTACTATATGCTGTTATTTTGCCATAACTTGGCCTCACATGTCTATTACTTGTGCAATTCATTTATATACTGAGTCCCTTCTGTGATTGATTCTCAAACTCGTGATTAATTTTCAAAACTTTTCCTTTGTGAAATTCTGATTTTTACTCGCATGTTAAGGGGTAATTGATTCTTTCTCTTTGTTTGGCCTTACCAGATCCTTTCCAAAAATAATTACATTCTTGTACTTAGACTTAAACACCTATTATATGATTTTACTGCTCCTTTTATGGCAACAACCATTCTGCTTAAAGACTGATTTTTCTTTCCTTATCTTGACCCTGTTAGTATCCGTTTGAACAATAATCCCTTGATTAAAGGTAAGTCTTGTGTTAATTGATTCTGACTTGTGATTGTTTCCATATTTGTGTTAAAACTTTACCTATTACCTTATTCTCCACTCGTTTTCAAAATTATAAATACCCTACCCTCTTTTCTTTAAACGGAGACACGAACAACTTGAGTTCAAAATATACACACTTACTCTTAAAACTCTCTCTTTCTTTACTACTACTTGTGATGTTGCTTTGCCTAGCCGGCTGAAAGCCAAGGCTAGAATGTGGACTTGTGTTTGCTTTACCTTTATGCACTTTGCTTCTCTACTGGTATGTCCTAGTTAATTTACAAGCCTCAACAACAATATGTTTTCTTTAATTACTCCAGTTTGTCATTCCTGTCTACTTCTACTCATGTTTCTGTAGTCAAGATATGTTACTAGCATGCTGTAATACGTTCCCTTGTAAATTAATGTTTATCTATGTATGCACCCTGTCAGTCACTTGTTATTTATTTGCAACCTTATGAATCCCAAACCCCCGTATCCCCTTATATGCTTTAAGTTATCGTTCAGAAACATGGCAATATGCGAAGTCATTGTCCATGGATATGAACTGGATCCTTTGGGCCCTAAGCTTTGTCAATTTCCCATCCCTATTCCCTTATTGTGTGTGCTGAGTAACAACTTTGGCCTGACAGTATTCTAGTTATTGCTCAGACCATAGCTTGACCTCCAGTAGGTCTTTACTCTCTAAATGTTTGGCCAACAGGTTTGGTTATGGGTGTGCCAGTCTACTTTATGGCTGGGCATGACCACCAGCCTGCCTGGGTATTCCCTATCCCCTTTCTCTTATTGCACTTGCACTATGCTCTTAGAACTTAGGTTCTGCCCCTCTTGTGTGAGCCTTGCCTTAGGACCCTTGAGCTCCCTCTGAACTTGGACACATAAGGGCTGGCCTTTCCACACTACACAACTCAATTTTCTGATGAACATCTTGGGTGTATGCACTGCCTGGGGTTCCTGAAATCCCTTGGATCTCTGAAACACCCTAGATGAGATAAGGCTTGGAAATCTGGATCTCGGAAGTGGCTCAATCTCATATTATTAGGCCTCAAGTCTGGATTAGGCTGCTCGTATGTAGCTGAGGATTTCTGATGTATTTTTTAATTCCAGTTCATTTCTTTTGGGTTGTAATAACTTGTACAAGCTCGGGGAACTTTAGTAAAAAGGGGGTTGGGATTTATTTTTATGCATCAAGGGTAGAGATCATGCCTATAGGAGTTTGTTATGATTTCTGCAATTTCACACCTAGATATCATGCCTATAGGGTTAACTTTTAATTTCTGCACACACGCCTAGAAATCATGCCTATAGGGTAACTCTTAATTTCTGCAATTTCACACCTAGATATCATGCCTATAGGGTTAACTTTTAATTTCTGCAAATACGCCTAGTTTCATGCCTATAGGTTAACTTTTAACTTCTGCAAACTCATACCTAGAAATCATGCCTATAGGATTCACTCATAATTTCTGCGTCTCCGCGCATAGATATCCTACCTACAGGATTAACTTCCAATTGTTCTATAAAATATGGTCTATAGACTATAACATTCTGCATTTATAAACATCACTAGGCAAACAGTTTGTAGGTTTAATAACAAGAGCTGCATATAGATACCATGTTCCTAGGACCTTTGTTAACGTCCAAAAGGTGTCCAAATCAGCATACATATAGAAAGCATGCTTAAAGGAAATCTCGAATCTGAATAGAGGTAATATTAACTGCTGAACTCGTAATGTCCTGTTAAAATTGGTAACCCCTTTTCAGTATGTATCTTTTTCTAAAGTTAGTATACATCACGCCTAGTTCTAACCAACACTTAGAGGATTAACAATCAGATCGGTTTTTTAGTCAACTGCATTCGAGTAAGCCTAATGTAGACTTTTTCGCCTAAAAATATGTGTTGAACCAGTCCGCTCGTCGCTTTATTTAATTAAGACCAAAAACAGTACGTGTAAGACATGCTAAACTCTATGACTTTTTGCTGGTTTATGGAGGCATATTTGAGCCCTGTTTGCTTGCCTGATTCCCTCTATTTGCACTTATGTGTTTTGGTTGACGCCTTAGCATTTTGTCCTTTGAAAACTTCTAAAAGCCCCAAACCCCTTTCCCTTTAGGATTAGTAGTCCATTTGCCTCCGGGACTGATAGGATTGGGGCGGGTAATAGCATGCAATAAGTAACGATACCATTCCGCGTTTTAATACCTTAACGGGGTGGGAAGGGTAGACATGTAGATGATGATCACATGATAACACTACGCGTACAATTGGATACCGGTGTTGTGTAAATGATCCATGTGATATATAAACCTAGGACCCCCCTCCCTTTTTATTAGTTTGTTATTTTCAGAATTTTAAAAGCTGTCCAATTTTCAACTTCCGCTTCTTTTACTTCTTTTAAGTTGCTTGCATCAATTATTTGACCCCTTCTTTTCTCTCACACCTTTCTGTGATTATAAAACTACTTCCTTCCAGATTTCAGCACTTTTAAATCCTTTTGTGCTTTTTTATTTGCAATTGTTATGTGAGTGGTTTCATCGTATTTGCAATGCTTGCTTGTCTACTTGTTGTTTGCATTTAAAGTCACAATTGTAGCATGGCCGGGAACCACACTAGTGGATCTTGGGGGGTGCCTAATACCTTCCCCTCAAGATAATTTCTAGCCCTTACCCAAACTCTGGTTTTTATCCCAAATTCTTTTCTTAAAGTGTCCTAATGCACTATAATCATTAGGTGGCGACTCTCCAAATCCAAAACTCAATTCCCAAACGGGAATAGAGTTGTCTTTCCTGAATGTCGTAAACCCGATTTCGCGAGGAAAAAGGGGGCATCGGCATCCCACAGAAAGATTGTAGAAGTGTGACAGGTAGTCACTTAAATGATTAAAGATTAAAACCAAGTATGGAGATTGTGGTACTACTGTTGATGTGAGAATTTATGCCTGAAGGGCGCTCGGTTCGTTTGGTTGTGGACTATGGAAGTTCGTTCCGGATTTGACAGCTGTTCTCGTGTGTCAGGGGAATGAGTGTTATTGTGGATCCTTGAAAGGTTACTAGCCTAATGCAGTACGATCAGAATTGGCTTGAGGTCTGTGGATGGATCTAAATGTGAGCGTGGGCTCTATATCAGGCCGGATGAATTCATTTCAGCATAGCGCTCTTTATGGAGGAGTATTCGGACGTTGGATGTTGTTTCGTCGTTGGCTATTTTATGTAATACTATATTGTGCCGTGTGAGTTGTGAAACGACGTGATAAATATCATATGTGTTGAGGTTTTGCATAGCGATGGTGTTATGTGAGCAGGATGACTCCCGAGATTCAGATCTTATATCGCACCTTAGTTGTGCTTGAGTTTAATTTGCGTCTCCCCAGGGATGGTATTATGCACTTAGTGTGCTTTTGGCCGATATTCGGATATTTCGTAGTCATGAGCATTTTAGCTCGGCAAAGTATTTCCTTATACGAGTATATTGTCACTACAACAAAAATAGGTTTTAGCGGCAATTATTTATCGGCAATAAAGTAATTGCCGCTAATTTATTCGGGGAACGCAAATATTACCGGCCAATAAATATTTGCTGGTAATTAGTATATGTTTAATGGCCATTTAAGAGAATAGACGGTAAATATATTATTTTTGTTCTTGTTTTATTTTTCCTCTAAATCCTCTCCCGCTTAAACCTTGTAAAGCCGCTCAACTTTTCAATAAAATATTCTAAATTGGCAAAACAATATACGCTCAAACAATATATTTTTGAAATCGGCACCAAGCATCTCCACCTCCCTATATCTCAACCGATGACCAAAATAGCCGACACCGTCACAGTCGCTAACACCTTCACAATCACCGGTAAGTTTCTGTCTTTATCTTTATGAATCGATTGGGTAGGTTAGGGGTTGATGAAAAATTAGTGTTGGTTAGGTCTAGGGTTTCAATTATCGAAGTATACTCGCCGTCACCATCTCAATCGCTGCTAAGTTTTATTCCGAGCCAGTGCAATACTTTTTTTTGGGTTGTTTTTGCTCAAAAAATAGAATTTAAGACATCTTGTTAATTTTTTTATTCTATGAAATTTAGTAACAAGAATAACGCATCATCCTTAAGATTTACTGGCCATTATATGGAATTTTAAGTTTCATATGTTATAGTTTATGTCGTTGTCCTATGTTATCTACTTGATGTATAAAAAATATAGTAACGAAGTGCTTTTCTATCATTCTTTGTATTTTGTGCAATTTGTTGCTCTATTCTTCACTAATACCAATCACTGTTGTTAGGGACATGTATTAGGTAATTTTTCCAGTTCTTGATAGTCCCAGTCGTCTATTTGGTGTGTGAAGTTTTCAACTGTTTATTCACTTTGAAGTTTAAAGTACACTTTAGCACCTTTGTGCTTCTTATCTAGCTTTTAGCATTTTTGTGGTGAGAAATTGGGATTGCAATTGCTTGAACTATTAGATTCGGTTAATTACAGTTTAGAAATCTCTCTGAGATATATATTGCTACATCCTGTTATAAGACATTTTTTTATATTTCTGTATAAGCAGTGATTCTACCTTTAAATTTAGAAATCTCCGAGCAGAAAAATATTGCACTCTACTAAAATAATATGTTGGTTTTAACTTTATTGTTTGAAGAAAAGACTTGTACATGATCAGTTTGAACATAGCTACAACTTTTCTCAATATCAGGGTTTCTAGAGAGTATATCTTCTATTACAAATATTTGTCTGACTTTGTTCTAATGATTTTTTTTTGATAAGGTAAATATTTAAGCATACAAGGAGGAAACTAGTCAAATGTCTAATTTTCTTTACTATTGCTTAACAAAGTTATTGAGGCGTCGCTATTGTTTAAATCTCCATCTTCTCTTTTTATGTAGGTTTCGAGATTGTTACTGGCATTTTTCTCCTTCACTTTCTTGTCTTCATCGTCAAAGTATTTTTCTTACCAGGTACCCAAACACTTGAGCCTAAATCGATTTGTGATTTGTGATGTCAAGCTATGGCAGTTTGTGATTTGTAGAGATAATTTTGTTTTTTTGTGTTTGCTATATTGTGATTTGTGATTTTTGGATGCTGTTAAATTGGCGGGCTACTTATTGAATTGATTCCTTTAGTTTTCCTAATGTTATATGTTTACTTTTGATTGTTATAAGCTATTCATAGCAGACTATACTTAAAGAAAATTTTGTTAATTTAAGTGTAAAGTAATTCTATTTGAATTGTCGATTTAGGTGAATGTGAACTATTCAGTTTGTTAGCTTCTGAGATCTCTTCGTGTTAATTCTCCATTGATTTGACTATGTTAATTTTTTCCCACATATATTTGTAACTTGGATTATGATCTAAAGATGTTGTTACTTCTTGTTTCGCCTTTTGCACTTTAAATTACCAAAATGTTACTTAATAGTTGATATGGTAGGATTTTTTTTAAAGATTTGTTACTTGTTAAGAAAAGAATGATTTTAAGTTTATTTATTTAAATATTAAATGAATACATGCTAAATGCCTCTTCTTATGCTATTTTTGATCCATTCACTTACTCTTACTTAGTGTTACTGCATGGGATATCCTTTATCTTTTATATTACTGAAGGCCAACATGTTTTACTTTCATTGAGGTGAGCCCTAGTTGTACATCACGTTAGAAATGATGAACGATTGACATTCATTCAGGGAGAAGTACATGAAGTATAATATCGTTAGACTACTTATGTTGATGTAAATGCTGTTATTTATTTCTGAAAACTTGCACAATGAAAGTAGGAAAGTAATTTATCATGGATGTTGAGTTAGACAACACAAACATGTGACTGTATTTCTAGAAAATACAGGACAATTCACTGACATGAGAACTTTTGTGCTCTTTTTCTGAATTGTAAATATGGCTCTTCCACAGTCGTTGTGCTAATGGAATATAATTTGTTGTCTTTCACAAAAAAAGAAAAAGAAACAAAGAGACCAAGTAAAAAACTTTGGAATATTACGTGCTGAAGTATTTGATGATACAAATATTCAGACATAAGGTGCTGCTCACGGTGTTGACATAAAACGGAAAGTTCTTTGTCTAGTTCTATTGGTTCTCTTTCCTTTAATAGTAAAATTCTTAGGACTGTAGGGTGGTTCAAACTTCAATATTTATGATTGTAGAGCTGATATTTTTCAGTAGAGCCTACTATACATAGTGAGCATACAATTATAAAACTGATACTCTATTAGTTAATCTTGAAGACAAGAGATGTGGTTTCTCTTTGTTAACTGTTAAGATGTATGTTTGGGATCATGAGTTTATACTTAAAACTAATGATCAACTGCAGAAGAACCACTGCACAGTTGTACAACAACAGTAGAGGGACAACTACACAATTGTGCAACAACTGCAGAAGGACAACTATGAGTTCTGCTACAACAGTTTTATTTTTTGGGTAACATATGCTTCTCTTGGCTTTTGTATGTATAGCGACCTTGAAGATAGCTTCTTTCAACTTATTAGGACACTCTTCTATTTATGTATTTGTATTTTTGTCGCACAGTAACGGAAAAATCTACATAAAGTTCATTGGGTCTGCATCTTCTGGTTGTGTTGCACATTGTGAAACTATAAAACATCGGCATTAGGATCAATTGCTTACTTCCTTTCATGTGATGATTCTTGATTTCCTACAGCCTTTAGTTCCAATATGAGCACTTTAGTTCCAATATGAGCACTTGGTTGTAATTTTTTGACATTGTTGTGACACTTATAGTAATATTCCTGCTTTGCTAGTCTCTTTCAGTAGCGTAATATATCTGGAGTTAGGATCCTTGATGTCAGCAGATGATTCAGATCTTTTTAATTTTAGGTAATTCAGAAGCAAAAAAGGTTTTAGGCCTACTTTACTGAAAGATATTTGGAAATTTTCACCGGAGAAGACAGTTGATGTGCTGTTTAATAAATGCCTCAAAGTAGCAACGCCACTTCAGGTGAACAGGTAACTCAAATTTTATAAGCTTTAAACATTTTTGTCCTAGTGTTACTGAAAATGCTCAACTTTCTCACGGTACTACTCATCTTTGTCCTTTGTCGCTATTGTTTGAGTTTTGCTCCTTCGATTTTTATTAATTTGTTATTGTATTTGGACTTACTTGGATACTTCTTACTTTTATATATTTCGAAGATTGTGATAGTAGTTTCCTGCCTGAATTACATTTACCTTTCTGTTTCTAGACCAAAGTAATCCTTGAGTATTTGCTTCGAAGTTCTTCCAAATCCATTTTGCACTTATTTCATGTCCTTCAGTTTCGAAATATGAGACATCATATCGGTGATGGTAGTAGAAAAACATCACAGTAATGGTTGAAGGATAGATTTATAGAGAAAACATCACATCAAAATTTAAATTTTGATTGGATGCGTGAATTTCTTAATTCTTGAAAGTTGTGACAGATTTTTAGAAGAGGAACTGTGACAAATATTCTAGAACTTTTCAAATTGAGAAGAGTATCAGATAAATTGGAACGGAGTATCACTAACATCTTTAGTCCTAAGTTTCACTTTGAAAAATCATTTTAAGACCAAAGAAGGAAGAGGATGAGGTGAAATGTAATAAGTTTGTCACCTTTTACGTGTAAAAAACTGTTCCAACCTTAGCTTGTGAGTAGCGACACTATTATCTTGACCCGTTTGATTTAGCAATTGATCACCTATTGCATTTTCGAAGCCCAAAATTACAACTGGACATTGTTCCTAGTAAATTTCTTTTGCATTGAAGATGCTGGGACTGGAATGTTGAATAACTACTGTAATAGCAGTTATATCTCTTGATCATTGATTGCTAGAGACCAACTTCCCATGCAGTTGCACAAGTGCAAATACATGGCTCTATGCCGTCATGTCTCATATTCCAACATGTCAGAATAATGTAAGTTATCAACAGGTTTTAACCTACCTTAGATAGATAAAGAGCCTGGAGTTTCCTTCTTGACACTAGCACTACTAGATACTTAAGATTTGTGCTATTCATTTACAAATAACTTGGTGCTTAACTTTACAAATGCTTAACTGAGCTCTGTTGTCTTTATCTCTTTTCCTCGTGCTTGGAATTTTTTTAACAGTATCTCCTTGTGCCTATTGAAAACATAGTATTAGGTTGTATGGCTGAATTCACAGCCTTGTACAACCTCGAGAGTGCTGTAGTAGCAGGTACATCACCCTTAGCTGCTGGTTTTACTGATTTAAAAAGATCTGCACCTTCCTTATGTTGTCGCAGATTTCCAACATGCTCCTTAACAACCTCTGTTCCTCCCAAATTTTGACTAACAGCTGTAGCAGCCAAATTTTGAGTAACAGCTGCAATCAAATCTGTTCTACTTGTTGATTTATGATTCGTGAAATCTGGAACATTTTGTTTGGTTGTGTAACTTGTATCTCTCTGGGACATTGATGTTCAAATAATAGTTGAAGCTTGACCAGGTTCTTCGTTATGTTAAGACTTTGATTCTTCGTTATGCACGATCAAAAGAATGTAGTTGTTTCTGCTTATAAATGTTAGCGTATTTGTTGTAGATAAAAGGGCAGAGCTTGCTTAAGACGATTCTGTTTCTAGACCAAAGGAATCCTTGAGTATTTGCTTCGAAGTTCTTCCAAATCTATTTTGCGCTTGTTTCATGTCCTTCAGTTTCGAAATTTCTTGCTTTATTTGCTCTACTCTTTTCAGGACAACATCAAGTAAGGCATCTGTTTCAACCATTGATGTATGGCTTGATAGATCTGATCTTTTCTTGTCAAGCTGTTCGTATAGATTCATGATATAGTTCTTTTGAGCAAAAGCTTTTCCTCAGCAAGTCTGTACTCAAATTCATGAGACTTCCTCAATGCTTGCAGTGTTTGACTGACAAAGTATCTAACAGTGATGGAATCTTCAAGATATTTTTTCAATATTATACTTTATCCTTTAACACAATTATTTTATAATTTCAGGTCATACAGTTTGATGTTCGATAATTTAGCAGTCGGAAGATTTCAAAATGATGAGAAGTTGCGGAAATTATTTGAAGACTATCATTTTGGATTATTACTATGATGACATTAGCTATTTGGTCCAAAGAATATATTTTTATGTTTTAAGTTACGATGATATTAATATTTTTGATTAGTACTTCCTTTTGTTTGTTAAGATTTAATAAGATATATTACAGTTTTTTGAATTAATATTAATATATTTTATTATTTGGGTCATATTTTATACAAATATAGTAACTATTATTAATTATTGCCAAATTATTGATATTATCGCTAGTGCCTTTTAAAGATATTGATTTTTAGCGGTAATTTAGTTAAACATATTAGCTATTAAAATGGATGCTAAAAGGGCAAACTAATTTTTGTTAAAGATGCAATTTTTTTAGCGACAATTATTTTGAATTTAGCGGCTATAAAAATGGATGGTAAATAAGTATAATTAGCCGTTTGGATTGGATTTAGTAGCCATTATAATTGCCATAAACAATTGCCGCTAGAGATGCGAACGTTTAGCGGCAATTATTTTGAACTTAGTGGCTATAAAAATGGATGGTAAAGAAGTATAGTTAGCCGCTTGGATTGGATTTAGTCGTCATTATAATTGCCACTAACAATTGCCGTTAGAGATACGAATGTTTAGCGACAATTAGTTTGAATGTAGCGGCTATAAAAATAGTTGCTAAAGAAGTATAGTTGGCCGTTTTGGATTGGATTTAGTAGCCATTATAATTGCCGCAAACAATTGCCATTAAAGATAATAACTTTTAGCGGCAATAAACCATACCTTTTACCAGCTTTTGCAACAAAAGCCGCTAAAGGCTTTGCCGACCCCGGCATTAGCGGCAAAACACTAATGGCTGGTAAAAGATATAGCGGCTATAGTTATTGCCGCTAAAGCCATTTTGTATTGCCGCTAAAGGTCTTTTTTGTAGTAGTGTGTTTGGATTGGGTTGTACGCCGCAACAGTGTGATGTTGAGTACATTCCCCTATATCTATTCTTGTGTGTTTTGTTTCCCATTTTCTGAGAAAGGTTCATAACACCTTTTGGGTTGTCTAATTAGTTGTGTGGGTCGAGTAGTCCTTTCTAGAGTTTGTTTTCCTTATTTATCACATTCGAGTTGGTAGCTTGTTGGCATATTGTGGCGTCATATGAGACTCTTGGTCATGTCTTGGGCGGCTTATTGCCTGAACAACTTATACTGGGTGAGACAAAATTATTGGACCTGGGATCAGCGCGATATGATTTATATAAGGCACATTAAAGAGTGATTATCGATATTCAGTTCAGAATGAGGTAAATGTTCTGGTCAGGAGAATAGACCTAATGATTTGTTGACTCAGCAGTTGGTTATGAGTTTCTACACATCTCTTCCGTCATGGCAGTATTGCAAGAGTTGGAACACGACTTATATGAGTCATGAGGTGTGTTGTGAGCATCGGATTCATGAAATTTCGGCCATTGTCATCAGAGCATGTTATTATGATCACGTAAGTTATGCAGTGCATAGTTTGGATTCAACAAAGGTATGCAATCACGTATTAGTGCATCGCATAGAGATTGATACGGTGATCGTATGATGGAAACTGGCCTGGTAGAGAATTCCGGATGCTGGAATTGGGTTCTAAGGCTTATTTGACTAAGAAAAAGGGAGAATCTTTAGACTGACTCGAGCTAGTGTGCTCAACTGAGTTGTGGTGGCACGGGTAGGTGCACGAGGTGTTAAGTAGTGATTTCAGACAACCCCAGAGCAGTTCTTAGCACGTTCGAGGATGAACATATATTTAAGTGGGAGAGAATGCAACAACCCGACCGGCCGTTTTGAGCTCTAGCACGCCATTCAACGGTTGAGGCCATGAGCAGCTTCATTTCAGGTATTATGACTTGTACGTGTGGTCGGAAGTTAATTTTGGAAAGTTCGGAGTTGATTTTGAGAGAAAATTCTCATTTCAGAAGCTTTAAGTTGGGAGAATTCACTAAGGTATGATTTTTGAGTAAACGACCTCAGAAATCGGGATTTGAAAGTTCTAACAGGTTCGTATGATGATTTTAAACTTGGGTGTATGTCCGAATTGGGTTTTGGATGACCCGGGAGTGCTTCGACGCCTATTGTGGAAGTTAGCATTTTGGAAAAATTTCATAAATTTGGGGTGGAGGTGTATTTTTTGTTATCAATGTCCGTTTGGAATCCCGAGTGGGAATAGCTTCGTATGGTGATTCTGGTATTGGGGGCGCATCCGAAAGCGGATTTAGGGGCCCCTAGGTCATTTTAGAGTCGTTTGGCGAAAGTTAGAAATTTGAAGGTTTTTGAGAAGTTTGACCGGAAGTGAACTTTTTGATATCAGGGTCGGATTTTGATTCCGAAAGTTGGAGTAGGTCCGTAATGTCGAATGTGACTTGTGCGCAAAATTTGAGGTCAATCGGGCGTGATTTGATGGGTTTCGGCATCGAATGTAGAAGTTTGAAGTTCTAAAGTTCATTAAGCTTGAATTGGGGTGCGATTCATGAATTCGACGTTGTTTGATGTGATTTAAGGCCTCGAGAAAGTTCGTGTTATGTTTCTAGACTTGTGTGGGTATCTAGTTTGGAGCCCGAGGGCTCGGGTGAGTTTCGGAGTATATTCAGAGTGTTTGGTGAAGAAATTGGATTGCTGGTTCAGGTGTGATCGCCTTTGCGATGTATTGGTCATAAATGCGGCCATCGCATTTGCGAAGGTAAGGTTCACATTTGCGAACATGGGGCTGCTGAAGGAAAGATCGCAATTGCGAAGAAATTATCGCATTTGCGATGACTATCCTCTTCGCATTTGCGAAGATCCTGGTCACAAATGCGACCTGAGCAGGGACAGCTTGGCTTCGCATTTGCGATGCTTTTGTCGCAAATGCGACCATTGCATTTGCGAGCCAGATGTTGCATGCGACATCTGAGTCTGAGCCAAGGGCTTTTTATTTCGAGACTTAGCCCATTTCCCTCATTTCCCACTTGGTCTTAGGCAATTTTTGAGAGCATTTTGAGAGGGGTTCCATCATCATCAAGAGGTAAGTGATTTCTACTAGTTTTGAGTTAAATACAAGGTTTTTATATGGATTTAGACATGAAAAATTATAAAAAATTTGAGATTTTGAAGAAAAACCTAGAAATTGGTATTTTTGGATTTTGACCACGAATTTGGGTATGGAATTGAAAACAAATTATATATTTGAGTTCGTGGGTTTATGGGTAAAGTTTATCTTCGAAATTTTTTGGAATCCGAGCACGTGGGCCCGAAGGTAATTTTATCAATTTTCCAGCGGAGTTGGGAATCGTTGTAAATAGGATTATAATGAGTATTTGAGTATATATTAATGAGTTTGCATAATTATTGACTAGTTTTGGAGGGTTGGGCATCGGTTTGAGTCGTCGGAAGGGCTTGGGAGCCGGTTATGGAACTTCGGAGGGAGGTAAGTCTCCTTTCTAACCTTGTAAGAGGGAATCAACCCCATAGGTAAAATAATTCAATATGTGCCTCTATTTGTGGGGGCTACGTACGCAAGAGGTGACGAGAGTCCGTGCGTAGCTACTATTATGCAGTGCACAGTTTAATATTATATTGGATCGGGCCGTACGACCTCGGCATGATTGAATTGATTGCTTTGGCATTGATAATAAATGATATTGCCTCATTGGCCTGTGATAAGTTGATAAATGATGAAAATAAAGTTGGAAACCTCCTATTAATAAAAGAATTATTTACTTGTTTCATGCTATAGAGTTTACAATCGTTTTATAAAATTCATAATTTATCGCATCATCGGTATATTATTGTTGGCCATAGTAAGTGTCGGAGTCGACCTCTCGTCACTGCTTCTTCGAGATTAGACTGAATACTTACTGGGTACGCGTTGTTTTTGTACTCATACTACACTTGCTGTACATTTTGTTGTATAGGCACATGTATGTCTAGTGGACTTGTGGGTACTGCGGCGTGGTTGACATGGAGACTTAGGTGAGCTGCATCTTATGAGACGATCCGCAGCCAATAGAGTCTCCTTTAGAGTACTTGTATTTTTTTCTGTCCAAATTTGTATTCCGGACGGTTATTGTATTGTATTTTAAATTCCTAGTAAATGCTCATGCATTTATGACAGTGGGTTCTGGGATGACTATGGGATACTCAGTTAAGATTTAAAATATTATTAATTATTCTATGAAGTTCATCTTTTCTATTAGTTAAATTGAGGGAAATTTATGATTTCAAAAATATTATAATGAGAATCTAATTAACTATTTAATGTTGGCTTGCCTGACAGTGGTGTCCGGCGCCATCACGATCTTTAATGATTTTGGATCGTGACACTACGTGTAAACTTGCAAGTGGCGGATCCAGAATTTAAAGTTAATGGGTGCTCTAGCGTAAATCTAACACTCGTCACAAAATCATAGTAAGGTATATTTATGATTAATTTGGTCTAGTTAATTCGGTTTTGTGTTTATAATCATCAAATCGAAATGAGCTCAATTCAATTTTTTTTGAAAAGGTAAATATTCTGTATACACCATCAAAATAGAGAAAGAAAATTGGTAAAGCTTTTGAATATTTTAACACGTCGAAATTTGGTCTAAACTATGATACTCTTCTGTTTACATAGATAGAAGTAGTACCTTTCTAGCTTTATACACTATCCAAATTCACGCCATGCTTTCATATCTCGATTTATTATCTCCAACTACTAGCTTTCTAAGTTTTTAATGAAAGCTTAGAGTAAATTAATTGGAGTGTATTAATTAATTTAGAAATAAAAGGTTTTAAAACTCTCAATATTAAATTGCAAACCTACTTTCAGACCAGTTTTCTCATAAGTTGGATAATAATTAATTGATTTTTATTCTTATTCATGTGTAAACTTAACTTTTTAAGAAGCACAAAAAGGAAAGAAAAATAAATCTAGTTTAGCCAATATAAATCTAAATTGGGGAAAATACATAAAGAGCAAGAAATGAGAATTGAGATGAATGGGGCAGTAAAAAGGAAAAAAAAGAGTAAGGCGAAAGATAAATATATAGGCTACAAAAAGAGTGGAAAATTGAAGGGGGGAAAAGAGAGCCTTGCTCACACATATGAAATTAGTGATACTGCTCACAACTGGAATCGAGCCCTCGACCTTGAAGGAAAAAAGTGTTTGTCAGACTAAAGCACCCAACATTCACTTTTGTCGATGAGTGCTCATA